TATAAAATAAATAACCATAGCCTTAACACTTCCTAATCAAATTTTCTCAACCATGAAAATAATTAATTATTTTTTGTCGAATTATCTGAAAACATAAATGAAATAAGATGTAAACATGGTTTTTAGATATACGCTGAAAACTCAATTAATTCAAAATATTTGCAGTCGTCTCACACACTCAACTAAATTTGATTAGTCTTCCACAATTTGGCAGCCAAATTAGCCAACTGGTTCAATAAAATTTCGTAGCAATTTATAAAGCAGTCAATGAATGCTTTAGAAGTCGTGATGCACAAATAAAAAATTGCATTCGATGCAATGCAAAAAAGGAAATACTTTAAATTACACAAGTGTGAAAACCAGTTTCGATTAGATGGTATTAAAGACGCCAATGCAAAAAGTGCATAAGCTGAAGATTAATTGTCGCATAGATATAAATATATATGTTTATTTATATATATGTATATGGTAGAGTTAGGCTTCAGCTGTGAGGCAATGGCAGAGGGAATGCAGCTGCATGGACAGGCCAAATGTTATGGGAAGATGTCAAGATGGCAACGCATGGAATGGCATAACTAAACACATACACACACACACACACACGCTGCAAACACAACGCATATTGGAATGTTGCACAGATGTTCACGTTAATAGTAAAAAATTTAAAAAATATTAGGCATTCAATTTGTTGTCTCTCAATTCATTTGGCAATCGAGCACGTTTTGAAGGTTGATTTGCCATTTATTTGAGCTGAAGCAGCTCCACACTTATTATTAGTCACATTTAAAGCCTAGGTGGGCGATCACATATGAAATGCCTTTCTCCAAAAAAAAAAAAAAAAAACAAAAAATGATCCACGCAATTAACAAGTGCCCGAAAAATAACCAAAAGCAACAGACGAAATACAAATTGAAATATTCAATCATTGCATAACAATTTATAAGCGGCTACAAATTTCAAAAACAATTCCAATTGGCCTCTTCAAACAGCCAAAAAAAAAAAAATAAATAAAAGAAGAGACAGCCCTCAATTGTATTCGAATTTGGTTTTGGATTTTGAGCTTTTTTTTTTTGTACTTTTCATTGTCTTTCGTCTTACCCACGACAATTAGCCCAGCCAAGACGTGTGCAATGCACATAGGAAGCGCAAATGAGGCAACGGAAATTTGAATTACAAAATTTACAAGCCGTGAAAATGATGAA